GGGCCCCGAGCCCTAGGCGCGCGGAGGGCCCCGCCAGTCAGCGCCCGGCGGGTGCATGCTGGGGCACCAAAGCGAGCTGGCCAATCACAGCGCAGCGGCGCGCCCGGCAGTTGTCGCCTCTCTCCTTATAGTCTCTCTAGACCACGGGCCCGCGGGCCCCCGACCCGACTTGGAGGAGGGGGCTTCTGATGTGCCCCCTTCCCCTCCCGATGCAGACTGCTTTCCACCTCCACCGGCAGAGCCCCGGCTATGAGTGGAGGACAAAAAGGGCCGATCGAACTGCCAAACAATGTTCATATTATTTCTTTTATTATAGTCATTCTTAAAGTCATAAACAATTTATCACAATCAACAAAATCAACAACTTATCAATGATTTCACATCAGATAGCACTAATTTTTATATTCTTGATTTCACAAAGCGAGCATCTACAATCAGTAGTGCGTCCATAGAGGGTAAAACAAAATTTCCAAATTTTGATCACTATCTGTTTGACTTCCAACGCCTTCACGGACCAAGATAATCACATTTCCAGTAATGCCGAAGCAGATTAACAAACATTGATATTCTAATAAATTCAAACTCTGTTTTAAATAATTTGAAAGACTTATCTCTCTACATTGGTCATAAACAAAAATTTGAGATCCATCCTAATAATCATTACTCAACTAACTCTTCCACCCATGCCACATGAATGTACAATAAAGCCCACTTTTTACAATAAATTACTATCTATGTAAACTGTACACATGGCACATTGAATCCCACAAGTTTGGGAAAAACAAAAAGGGAGTAGAAGTGAAATGAAGTTCTCTGAACAACTTTCTTCATATTACAGGGAGGTTTCGTTTCCACATGAAATTTAAAACATTCAAGTCGTTAAAATTCTAGTCATTTAAGAAAACAATAGAGAATTAGCTCTAAAATCTCACAAAATTCAAACAGTAGATTCCAATTAATGTTGAACACAAGTGGCACTTCATAACTGTATTTTAATGCGTACGCTAAGAACAGGGGGAAAATACAAGCACTCTCTCTAGAGAGCAGCAGCTTAGGATTTTAAAAGTTAAAAAAAGGGCACAGAAATGTGCATATTTGATATTACTGTGGCACCACGAATTCACAAAATAACAGAAAACGGTATCATCATAGCTAATGTATAAAACAAAAACAATTAGTTGAAGTTAGTCACAAATTCTCAATTGAAAGATTAAAAATGCAAGATATTAAGTGTCTCCAATACATAGATGTATATAAAAAGGAGAATCAGAAGTCTCCAAAAACATGGTAACAACATTTATAAACTAGAAATAAGGTGGAAAGTGACATAATACAAAATTTACAAAAAAACAAACATATACAATGTACATTATGTTTAAATTACATTTGGGCATGGGAGGTGAGCATTTGAACTATTTACAAGGCAATGTACAATGACAGTTCTTAAATCAATTTACAGCAATTGAATCAGCTATTGTACTAGATGGACATGTTTTCCAAAAGCAAAGTTTGAGGAGATAAAAACCTGAATTTTGAAAAAAAAAGAAGAAAGAAAAAAGCGTAAAATTTTTAAAAGGAAAATAACAATTCAATAACTGACCAGCTTAACTTGCTGTCCATCCAGCGCAAAAGCTAAAGTATCACAGAACTCAAACTGTCAAACATAATCAATGTACAGCATTTATCAATTACAAGGGGAAGGACAAGGAATTCTTTGAACCCTGTCCCAACCATCTCACTTTTTTGTCTTTCGACGTAGATTGATCACCTTCTTGGTAGGCTCCTCTACAAAATAACACGTTTTTACTTTCTTCGCACGGGCAGTCTGGGCGACACTGTTCACCATGCCGCTGCGTGAGGAGAGGGCCGCCGCCGACTTGGTCAGCGCGCGGCTGGGGGAAGATGGCGATGATGCGTGGACTAGGGGTTGGACTAGAGCGAGGTGCGCGCACCGCGGCGCGGCACACGGCCGGGGCCGCTAGGCCGGGGTTGCGGCGGGGCTAGCTCCGCAGCACGCAGTGGGCGCCGCCCTGGGCGTTCACCTCGCTCACGACCTGCACCCAGTGGTCGAGGCGCGCGGCGCAGGTGAGCGCGAGCTGGCCCAGCTTGCGCCGCGCCATGAACACGAACTCGCCGGGGCCGTGCTTGGCGCCGCAGTGCAGCGGCATGCGCAGCGTGGCCGCCTCGTTCACCCACACGGGCTCGTCCTCGTCGGCGCCGCCGCCGCCCACCTCGTTGTCGTCCTCGTCGTCCTCGCCGGCGCCGCCCTGGCCCTGGCCGGGACCCTGGCTGGGCTCCAGCTCGGCCAGACGCCGCAGCACCCGCGTCAGCTTCACCTGGACCCGGGACTCCTCCAGGTCCTCGTCGTTCTCCACGGCGCGGATGTAGCCGCGGGCCACTGCAACATCAAAGAAAGAAACACACGGTTAGCTAAGTGTAAATCATCAATGCATTTATTTTTAAAACAATGCAAATTGTGGGCGGGGCAAAAGGTTGTGAGGTATTTTATTTTAGCGCAACTTTTAAAATTTGACAAGTGAAACTAGGGGGCTTGAAGCAGAGAGGGCGCAAGAGGTGCGAGCAGTGTGTGTGCAGGACAATGCAGTGACCTCCATACGTCGGCGCTGCTGGCAGCCTGTGCAGCCCAGGGCAGCTCTGCTGGCCCGATCATAACCCCGGCCCCAGCCGGACCGGGCCAGACGACAGGCACGCCCGGGCATGTACGAACACACACACGTCCTGGAACGAGTTCCATCGGGAGAGTCCGATTGCCTTTCCATTCCTCCCCTCCTCCTCTTTTTGTCTTTTCCTTTTACGCGTCAGAACGCCCCTCCCTCTCCCCGCCCATATCTCCATCTCTCCCTCCTCCACCTCCTCCTCCCCTTGCTGGCAATGCAAGTCCTTCTCGGTCCGGATCGGCCCGGCTGCACCACCACCGGCACCGGCCGCGTGCGTCGTCGTCCCGTTCCCGTTACACTCCGACGCCACACCACCACCACCACCACAAACCGACACACCGGCCAAATCGAAGCTGCCGCAGAGGAGAGACAGGTCCTTCTGATCCAGGACGACCCTTCTCATCTCTGCCCCCCCCCCCCCTCGGACTGAGACGTAAAGTCCTCTGCACGCCGAGCAGCGGGTCGGACGCGCCATCACCTCACCACCTCCACTGCGATGCACCGCACCACAGCCTCCTGGTTCATCACGCCTCCACGACGACGCGGCCCCTCCTCGGCACGTGTGAGATGAGAGAGGGCCGATAATGGTGCGTGCCCGTGGCGTGGCGTGGCGCGGGGGCCTAACAGCGAAGCGACGCCGCGTTCCGCTATCCTGCCGGCCGGACTGGGCTGGTCCTGGTCCCTCCCGTCCTGCTCCTGCCGAACCGACACCATTAAAGCCCAATCGGGCTGGAGCCGCGCCACGCGACGTCGTCGCCACGGGGCGCTGCGCAGCGCTGCGCCGATAGCCGATAGCCGCCCCCGGACCGGACTCGCCGCCGCCGCCGCCGCAGCAGCAGCAGCAGCGCAGCTCGTGCCCGAAATAAAGTACGGCAAAACGAAGAAGAGGCGACGTGTTGTATACGGCGCGGGGAGAGCAGCGAGCAAAGCCGGTCCCGGGGTCCGGTCGGGTCGCTTCGGCTGCTGCTGCTGCATTACAGGAGGGTGAGGAGGAGGAGGAGGGAGGAGGTAACACGCCGACACCTTCTAATTAAAAAGACCTAATTCGGACCGCGCGCTGCGCCGTGCGGCGGCGGCTTGCAGCGCAGAGCTCGTCCAGCAGCAGGAGCAGCACGCGACCAGACCAGACCGCCCCGCCTCCGACAAATCAGGCTCCGAAAAAAACATTATATTGGATCCGCGACCACTTACCGCACGCGCCGCTTACGAGCTACTACTACTACTTGGGCGTGCTTGTGGTGCTCCGGCGGCGAGGCTCGTGTGCGTTCAGCCGCGGGGGGTAAAATCTTAAACACACACAAACTAAACTGGCCATGTCGCGACGCTAGCTCGCGGCCGGGACCGCGTGTGTTTCATGCAAATGACTTGTTCCAGCACAAAACACACCACTCGCGCCCCGCGTGTCGCTTGTTGTGGGGCCGGCGAGCGTTGTTGTGCGCCGTGGCGGAGGCAGGACACACCTCCACCACCACCACCATCAACAGGACGCTGGCCAGCCGACACAAACGCACGCGTAAAAAAACAAAATCAAAAGAGAAAGAGCCCTTTTCTGCGCGCGCAAAACGCCTCGCTCTGCGGACACGACACAACTTGCGGCCGCGCAGTGGACTGCTATATTCCTGATGGCATCCTCCTTCCCCTTCCTCCTCGTCCTTTCCCCTCTCGGCTCGCAGGTGTGCGATGCCGTGTCGCCCTTGTCGTCCCGGCGCGTCGAAAAGATTCACGACCTCGGGCTCCCAGAGTTGTAGTAGAAGTCGTATGGGCCCTCTCCTCTCCGCCCAGGACGACTACTACTACACGGCCCTTCCTCCCCGCGCCGCGACTGACACCGCGTGTCCATTAGCCGCTGTTGTCGCCCGGGCCGCAGCCGCAGCACACTCAAGTCCAGGACACTCCGGCCGCAGCCCGCAGCGGCGCCGCGCAGCATGGGCTGCCTACCTCCCGGGCGCCCCCGCGCGGCTACGCCAACGCCGCTGTCGTCGCCGCCCCGAGGTACTGCAACTACTGCGACCAGCAGCAGCCTACCGGCTGGACTGCGAATAAGGCAAGGGCAGGAGGAACGAGGCACGGCGTGGCAGGCAGACGATTTTGAATTGCAAACCTTTCCCTCTTCTGCCGCACTGCTGCTGCTGGCTGTTGCTGCTCCGTTTTGCTCGCATCGCCCCGGCTCGGCTCCCGCCCGCCTGCGCGGGGGCTTGCAATTTCAAAGAGACTCTCCTTCCACTATAAAGGATGATTCGCTCCTTATTCAAAATGGCGCTCGGATCGTAAAGCAAGCCCTCCTCTCCGTCTCTCTCTCTCCCTCGCGCCGCATTAGCATCTAAGGGCCCAAACAATGCGCCGGGTGTGCAGGTGAGCGCGCAACGCGCTGCAACGCGGCCGACGCGGCTCTGCGATTGACACGCGGCCGCCTAGGACAACGCAACAACAACGATTGCACTAAAAATGCCCAGACATAGGGAGAAGAATTTTTGTTAAAAGTGGACTGGAAGGGCCAAGGGCCAGGTCAATCTCTCCCATGAAGTTTTAGAAGAAAAGGAGAAGTAAACGTTGGGGGCCGTATTCCTTTCTCCCGCTCGACACCGCAAGTGCGTGTGTGCGTGTGTGTGTGTGAGTGTGTAAGTGTTGCCTACGGAAGCCGCCGCCGCCGCTAGCCCAACCGCAACATTCCTCGACCCCCGTATTGACTTTACCATACCGAGCTACCGGCACTTCCCCGTACGCGTGTGTGTGTGAGTGTGTGTGCGCGTGAGGAGGCAGTGTAAGGCGCGGCCCCAGCGGTATGACCCCTGGCGAGGCGGGGCGCGGCGACAGCAGCCCGTCGTCGTCGCCGTCGAGGTGCCGCAGACAACGACCTGGGCTCCGCGCCATACCATTCCAGGAGGGGTGGCGGGTACCATACCGGGTACCGTAAACACACGAGAGAGACGGAGAGAGACAGAGAGAGAGCTACTCACTTGCCTTATCAGCCCGACAGACGGTAAAGAACGTTTTATGGTTTTATTGGAGGGCGGTGCCAGCACCGGCCGCAGCCGGGGCGTAATGGCCTAAGTCCAAATAGAAAGCGTCCGCTCGGCGCTGCTGCTGCTGCTGCTGCAGCCGCCCGGCGCGAGGCTACATAGTGACTCTAGCCCCGCCCCACCCCGCCCCGCACGGCCGCGACCGGTTGCACCAGCCAGTCGTATTTATGCCCCTAGCAAACTGTCAGCCAGCCAAGCCGAGGTGGGCGAGGCGAGGCGAGGCGAGGCGACGGGCGGCGCAGCGACCTCAACGCACGCGCTGGGCCGGGGACACAGATGGGGGAGGGTGGCGGCGCGGCGGCGGCCACGACCACGGCCAGGATCAGCCCCGCAGCGCCCTCCGCCACCACGCCCCGCCACCCCCGCCCACCACCAGCACCGCGGTGCAGCCCAGGCCGAGCCCCGCGGGCGAGAGATATGCAAAGAGGAGCGCAATGCGGCCGCTGGACCGCACCCCGCCACGCCACGCTCGTTTGCATAATCAAATTTAATAAAAATTAGCGGCGGCAAGGAGGAGAGGAGGTGCATAACTGTAAGCGCTGTCTGTAAGAGGTACTAACCGAGGTCGCTGGTGCAGTAGGCACGAGCCATCTCGTCCGATGTACAGGGACGGCACTCTGCAAGCACAAATAATAAAAATAAGAATATTGTTAATGAAAATTCAAGTGACTGACAAATCAGTCGTCAAGACTCAAAGCTTACACGACAAGCAAAACGACGCCTGACGCCGACGCAACTCACCTTGCGAATCGTCGAACCTAGCACCGCGCGGGAGGGGCTCCAGGTCGTACTCGAGGCCGAACTCCTCGTGGGGCTCGGCGACGCCGGGGGCGCCCAGCTCGCTGGCCTCCACGTACAGGGCGGCCTGGCCGTGGCGCGAGTAGAAGCAGCGCACCGGCACCGGGGCGTCGTCGTCCTTGCGGCCGTCGCGCCGGCCACCCGGGTAGAGGGGCAGGAGCGAGCGCGGGCCCTCCAGGAAGAGGCGCGCGCCGCTGCCGCGGGTGCGCACGCACGCGCGGAACTCGCGGCCCTGCGCGCCCACGCGCAGCAGCACGCGCAGCGCGCCGCGCGGCCAGCGCCACGAGAGCGCGCCCGCCGAGCAGCGCAGGTACACCGGGGTCACGCCGCGGCCCGCCGTCGACACGCCGCTGCAACAGAGAGGGGGGCAGAGCACGTTAGACGTCGCAATCAAAACGACAAGAAAACACATCATCGCGTCGTGAAAAGTGGTGTCCTAAAATAATGTGCTGCTGCTGCTGCTGCTGCACCACCGAGTTGGGATGCATGACGGCCGAGTGCAGCAGGCCAGGCAGGCAACTTGATTGGACACACGTCGAAGCCATGTCGGCCGGACGTCACATGTCTGTCCTGTCCGGCCCGGCAGCGCAGCCCGGCGGGGCGCATCGGCAGCAGCAGCAGCACCGGCGAAATGAGAATGGTGGCCCGGGGGGCCCCGCGGGTGACAGAGTGAGCGCTGTGGAGGGGCGGGGAGGGGCGGGGCGGGGTGGGGCGGGCTCATTACCATTACCCCGCCACTCCTGATCGCATTCACAAAATCCATGCATAATCTTAGGCCCCGGCCCGGTCGGGC